ATCAGTGAAGAGAGAGAATCATCGATCGGCTGTTTCCTGTATGATCGAGGATTGAGCCTTCAACTCATGCCTGTGCCCTGATGTGGAACCAAACCGTAACCTAGTTCATAGTTTGAAGCTCAACTGCTGAGCCACCACTGCCAGGCAAATTCTTTGATGTTCTGAGTTTATCACATCTTTCATTCATGATTCTACTGTATTTTTTAATTCAGGTATTATGTATTTCAATTTCCCCTTTTGGTGTGATATTTATAAACTATTTTCTCATTATATATATTTTTTTTATTACATACTATTTTGGTGATTTTTCCATTCTTTTTGAGGGAATTAACATATTTCCATTAATGTAGTGCCAGTTTGATTACATTTATTTTGTTTTTCGGAGGGTACACTTTTTCTGTTTTTTCTTTTCCTGACTGATATCTTTTGTTGAGATTCCTGAATTTTAAAGTAGCAGGCTTTTGAATATGCTTTCTATAAGAGAAAACTACTAGCCATCTGTGGAACATATTCTACTTTCAGTCAATACTGTTTTCAGGATCTCTGTTCTTGGTTCGGCTGTTTAATTTCCCAGTTGGAAGTGTTGTCTGTTTCTTTCTCGGACCGGCTGTATCTTTCATGCTTGATATACATCTTCAGTATCCAGTCTTTGTGGTGCTCGAACAATTTCTCATTTGTAGCTGCCACTATAGGGCACTCACCTTGTACCTCCATTCTATTCACACTCTGTGTCATGCACAACAGCCACTTGTTACTCAGGATGCTTCAAAACATGGAGATCATTGAACACGCACTTCCCTCATCTCTCTCCAGCGAAGAAACTGTGAATTGGGAGGGTTTTTTTATAATATTGCCATTGTGTGCTAGGGGGTTAGAGCAGATATGATCAGCAAATGTAAGCGACACTTTGCCCCTCTTTGATGTTTGTTTTCCTCATTGTACCTATCTTGAGCTTTCCTTGATTCCGTCACTGGCTCTTGGAATACTTAAAAATGTTGTTTGGTCAATACTTGCTGGTAACTTCAAAGTGCACTCACCTAATTGTCAAACTGAAAATTTGTTTTCTTTCAGCTATGTCATCTGAAGATGACCAGGCCTTTATGCCAAATACCAGAATACAAGAATTATTCTCTGAAATGATATTGGTAAGATATGAAAGGTGTCGCTTTGATGATCTACACTTAATTAAAGTCTTGGTATTTGAGGAAAAATGTGATGAGAACAGAAGTTATTAATATAAACAGAACTAATCTGCAACAGTTATCATAATAAAATTGTTGTTACCTAAAGAGGTCAAGTAGATTATGCATTTGGGAAACTTTCCACTTTAAAGTCAGTTACATTGGCAGATCAGTGTGTATCTGCACGTGAATGTTCAAAACTACTTTGAATGTTATGCATTCTTGGAAGGGAAATCTGGACAATGTAGGAATTCACATAGTCTGTAGTGTAAATAATCATTTGAATTTTGTAAGATGTAGGGTGAGATTAAACTTTCATGCAATCATTTCTAAAATGTAGAGATTTATAACATACCTATAAAATTTAAATGTGCTCAATTGGGCAATCATTCTTATTATTATTATTATTATCACTTTTAAATATATTTTCATTGAATTCAAAGAGGAAGGGAGAGGGAGAGAGATGGTAACATCAATGATGAGTATCATTGATTGCATGCCTCCTACATGCCCCTCAAGAAGGATGGCGTCCGTAACCTGAGCCTGTGCCCTTGACTGGAATCAAACCCAGGTCCCTTCAGTCTACTTGCCAAAGCTCTATCCACTGAGCCAATTCAGCTAGTGCTTTTATTATTATTTTTATTCATTATATATATATATATATATTTTTTTTTTAAAGAAAATGATGAGCAAGGGCTAAAGAATGTAACATTTCTTTTGGGAGGATGAAATGTTCTAAAATGGATTGTGGTAACAGTTGCATAACTCTGTGAGTATAGCAAAAAACATTAAATTGTATACATATATTTTTTTTAATTCAGCAAGTCAGGGAGATGAAGAGAGAGAGAGAGACAAACATCAGTGATGAGAGAGAATCATTGACTGGCTGCCTCCTGCATTCCTCACACAGGAGACTGATTGTGAGCCCGGGGCTTGTGCCCTGATGGGGCATGGAACCGTCCTTCTGGTTCAAACTTCGAGACTCAGCCATTGAACCATGCTTGCTGGCCGAGTTGGCAATCTTTTTTGTTGTTGTTAATTTATTTTATTGATGTTTTTACAGAGAGAAAGGGAGAGTGATAGAGAGTTAGAATCATCGATGAGAGGGAAACATGAATCAGCTGCCTATTGCACACCCCCTACTGAGGTTGTGCCCACAATCAAGGTACATGCTCTTGACCGGAATTGAACCTGGGACCCTTCAGTCCCCAGGCTGACACTCTGTCCTCTGTGCCAAACTGGTTAGGGGTGGCAATCTTTTAAAAAAGAATTCATTCTTCTTCATCTGATCATTATTATTTTCTATTTAATTTTGTGTATTATTTTAATAAATTAGGAGAGCTTTTGTTGTACAACCATCTTGGTTTAGTGAGTATCATGAAATGATTCTTATGGAACAGTGTACATGTTTAATGAAATTAAAACTGTCAGTAAAAGCCTATCTATCTCTCATTACTACCAGAGTACATATAATGGAGACAGAAGTTATCAATGGAATGAAAATTGGAAAAACTTTAAGCGAGAGTCAAATCTTAATCATTGGAGAAGCAAACTTGCAGAGGACCATTATGAAAGTGGAAGAGTCTGTGACCCAAGGTCCAATCACAAAATACATGAGGTTATTCCTATTGTGGAGAAGACACACAAAGGAAGTCAATTTGTCCTGTCTTTTCATCAGTCATCAAATTACACTGAAGAAGAGAATATTCGTACTGGGAAGAAAGCTTACAAATGGAATCATTGCGGTATAATCTCCAGTCAAATAGTCAATACAAATACAGTGGGAAAAATCCATACTGGAAAAAAACCTTATAAATGTAAAGATTCTAGTAAAACATCTAATTGGCCTTCAGGTTGTATGGTACCTCAGAAAATTCATACTGGCCTGAAGCCTTACAAATGTAAAGCATGTGGCAAAGCCTTTAGATGTCATTCATCTCTTATTGTACATAAGGGAAGAATTCATACTATTGCAAAATTTTACAAACTCAGGGAAAATGGAAACGCCGTTAGTCAGTCTTCAGGACATACTCAACATCATAGAAATCACATGGGAGAAAAGTTTTATAAAGGTTCAGAATGTGACAAAACCTTTAGCTGGCCCTCAAGACTTAGTATTCATCAGAAAGTTCATAGTGGAGAGAAGCTGTATAAATGTAGAGAATGTGGCAAAGCCTTTAGACTGTTCTCACACCTTATTATGCATCAGAGAGTTCATAGTGAAGAGAAGCCTTACAAATGTAGAGAATGTGGCAAAGCCTTTAGACAGTTCTCACACCTTACTACGCATCAGAGAGTTCATAGTGAAGAGAAGCCTTACAAATATAGAGAATGTGGCAAAGCCTTCAGACGGTTCTCACACCTTACTACTCATCAGAGAGTTCATACAGGAGAGAAGCCTTATAAATGTAGAGAATGTGGCAAAGCCTTCAGATGGTTCTCACACCTTACTACTCATCAGAGAGTTCATACTGGAGAGAAGCCTTATAATTGTGGAGAATGTAGCAAAGCCTTTAGCGATCCCTCTGCTTTTAATAGACACCAGAGAGTTCATACAGGAGAGAAGCCTTATAAATGTAGAGAATGTGGCAAAGCCTTCATTGTTTCATCAACCCTTACTATCCATCTGAGAGTTCACACAGGAGAGAAGCCATATAAATGTAGAGAATGTGGCAAAGCCTTCAGCGAATCTTCATCCCTAACTAAGCATCAGAGAGTTCATAGTGAAGAGAAGCCTTACAAATGTAGAGAATGTGGCAAAGCCTTTAGACAGTTCTCACACCTTACTAGGCATCAGAGAGTTCACACTGGAGAGAAGCCTTATAATTGTGGAGAATCTGGCAAAGCCTTTAGCGATTCCTCTGCTCTTAATAGACATCAGAGAGTTCATTCTGGAGAGAAGCCTTATAAATGTAGAGAATGTAGCAAAGCCTTTAGCGAGTCCTCCTCTCTTAATCAACATCAGAAAGTTCACACTGGAGAGAACCCTTATAAATTTAGAGAATGTGGCAAAGCCTTTAGCGAGTCCTCATCCCTTAATCAACATGAGATAGTTCATACTGGTGATAAGTCTTTCAAATGTATTGAATGTGACAAAGGATTCAGTTTGGGTTTATCCCTTAGTCACCATCAGAGAATTCATACTGGAGAAAAGCCTTATAAATGTAATGAATGTGGCAAAGTCTTTACCCATTACTCATCCCTTAATCGTCATCACAGTATTCATACTGGAGAGAAGCCTTATAAATGTAGAGAATGTGGCAAAGCCTTTAGACGGTTCTCACACCTCACTACACATCAGAGAGTTCATACTGGAGAGAAGCCTTATAAATGTAGAGAATGTGGCAAAGCCTTCAGCCAATCCTCATCCCTTTATCAACATCAGAGAGAAAATACTGGAGAGAAGTCTTTCAAATGTTCAGAATGGGCAAAGAATTCCGTTTGGCAGTATACCTTAATTATCATCAGAGAATTCACACTGGTGAGAAGCCTTATAAATGTAATGAATGTGGCAAAGACTTTAGGGATATCTCATACTTTGCTAAGCATCAGAGAATTCATACTGGACAGAAGCCTTATAAATGTAATGAATGTGGCAAAGCTTTTACTCATTACTCATCCCTTAAGCGTCATCATAGAATTCATACTGGTGAGAAGCCTTATATGTGCAGAGACTGTGGAAAATCCTTTGGCACCTCTTCTTCCCTTACTTCTCATCAGAGAGTTCACACTGGAGAGAAGCCTCATAAATGTAGAGAATGTAGCAAATCCTTTGGAAGCTCCTCAGAACTTGCTAAGCATCAGAGAGTTCACAGTGGAGAGAAGCCTTATACATGTAGAGAATGTGGCAAATCCTTCACTACCTCATCAAAACTGACTTACCACCAGAGAGTTCATACTGGAGAGAAGCCTTATAAATGTAACGAATGTGGTAAAGCCTTTAGCCAGGCCTCATCCCTTGCTTCTCATCAGAGAATTCACACTGGAGAGAAGCCTTATAAATGTAGAGAATGTGGCAAATCTTTTGTCTACTCCTCATACCTTACTAACCACCAGAGTGTTCACACTGGAGAGAAGCCTTTTAAATGTAGAGAATGTGGCAAATCGTTTGGCAGGTCCGCATCCCTTACTAAGCTGGCTGGTCCTCAGACCTTACTAAGCATCAGAGAGTTCATTCTGGAGAGAAGCCTTATAAATGTAGAGAATGTGGCAAAGCCTTTAGCCAGTCCTCATCTGTTAATTTTCATCAGAGAGTTCACAAAAGAGTGTAGCCTTATAAATGTAGAGAATGTAACAGCATTTTCTCAGGGTTCCTGCCTCATTGTACAGCAGAGTTCATACTTGATAGAAGTCTTACAGATGTGTGGAGTGTTGTAAGTCCTTGACCAGCTGCAAGAACTTACAACATCACAGAATGGATATTGGGAAGAAGCCTTAGGAATGTGAAAAACCTAGACCACACCTTTAAAAGGCATTCGTCTCTTATTGTACCTGAGAGACTAAAGAAAGTCATTACAAATGTATAGTTTGGGCTGCAGCCTTTACCCACTTCTAAAAATTTACTGAACATCAGAGATTTTACAATGGAGGAAAGCCTTATACTGTTGAAAATGTGAGAAATCCTTTAACCTGTGGTCTAACCTACTCAACATTTTAGGAATCATTCTAAAGAAAAACAGCAATAATATAAAGTTTTCATTTAAGGATCTAAGCTTCAATGGTGGAAGCTACATTGAGAATGATAAAACAAGGTCTTACAAATTATCAGGCATATCTCAAAGTGTATATCCTCATTTATATCTCATACAACATATCATTATTACTGGATTGAAGTCCAGCAGATATAAAGAATGTGACAAAGCTTACTCACTATGCAAACCTTACCTGACATGAGAATTCATACTGAGGAGAAACAATACAAATGTAAACTTTGTCCTAAAGTCGTTCATCAGCATCTGTAGCTGATTCCTCACATTGGTATTTATTCTAGGGGGAAACCTTAAAACTAAATAATGTGGGAAATCATATAGTTCGACCTACGGACCCAGTCTTATCAGGGATTGCAATTGGGTAGAAATTCTACATTCATGATATAGGAGGAAGGACTTTTGTTTAAAATATATAGTTTATAAAACTCCAAGTAACTTGTACCTTAACAGATTTTAAAGATATAAAAACGTTATCCAAGTATGTAATTGATTATGAATTTTAAAGCATCAATGAATTCACACTAGATAGGTAGCCAAAATGCCTTTCAGGAATTGCTCTAAATTAGTACACCCAGTGTATTTTAAACTTTAAATGTAGTTAGTAAATATTGGCATACTTGAATATATCAAACGAATTGATGTTTCCATTTGTACACTTAGAGCGTTATTTATATTGAAATCATTTGAAATATTTTGAAAAGGAAATATTGTGATTCTGTTTCCATATCACTTGGTGCTGCTGTGTTTTATTCCTGGTGTATGTGTGAAATTGTGGGGTTGATAGTTTCTGCCTTAAAGATCTGTGAGCTGTTGTATGCTATATGGACTTGACATGCGTACTTTCCCATGGAATATTGTCTACATTGTAAGGGACACTATTTTCTTCTATTAGAGAATAATCCTATTGAATAAATCTTTTAAAATAGTTCTCAAGTGTTGTAAATTATACCTTCAAAGTTACTTCCATTTCTGTGCCACCGTGTTGAGCTGAAAACTTTTTGAGAGCATGTCAATTTGTGGTTGTGACATTTAGGTGGCCAGATCTACCTTTAGGACAGTGCTGTCTGTGTAATAGATTTTCCATAATTAAGAGGTGTATTGCAATACCAGTGACTTTATTGTACCCAGGATGCAGAATCAGCATGAACTCTGAATGTGGAGAGAGGACACCTTTCTCAGGCTGCATTGCTAACTGAACTCAGAAAAATTAATTCTATTTCTTTCATTTCTCATTTCCAGTTCCTCTGGTTTTTCACTTTGTCTTCTAAGCTCCCATTCCTTTGGCAGTGGTGGAACTACGGCATGTAAAGAAAGCTTCCTGTCCCTCATCAACCTTTCAAGCCTCTGTATCTTCCACTCAGTAGCTTGGAATTTACAATTCAGTGACTGACTTCAGAATGTGGCGAATATTTTGCTTTCTATTCATGAAGTAGGTAGCCCACAATTGGGGTTCTCCTGCTGACACCTATAGTTTATAATATGAATATGAAGCTTTGGAATACCACAAATTGGCACCTGTGTACTTTATAGTTGGAATGATTTTTCTTGTCCTGATTTTCATTGGAAACCTTAAGAATTTCTCATTGTTACCCCGTTAACTTTTTTTTAAATTAAATCTTTATTGTTCAGATTATTACATTGGTTTCTTTTTTTTCCCACCATAACTCCCCTCCACCCAGTTCCCACCCCACCCTCCGCCCTCACTCTCCACCTACAGGTGCATGATTATTGTCCAATCTCTTCCTGCACCCCCCATTATTGTCCTCTCTTCCTGCACCCCCCACACCCCTCCCCGCCCAAGAATAGTCAGTCCATTCCCTTTCGATGTCCCTGATTCTATTGCAATCACCAGTTCATAATGTTCATCAGATTATTTATTCACTTCATTTTTAGAGACACAC